GGGAAAATGTGTTAATGTATGTTTTTTTTTTTTAAACGTCTGTAATATATGAAAACACAGCTGGATTGTTTTACAAAACACACAAAACATGATAGTATGATACAAGCAAATATAACGCCATCGACTCCCAAAGCAAAAGGACTAAAGGATGCGTTAAAACGAAACATCTCGAAGAAGCCAATCATGAAGCCAAGAAGGACCACCAAGTGCCAGATACGATTGGAATCTCCCATCCCGAGTTAATGTATGTTTTGGACTATTATTTTAAATAGCTCGTACATTTAACTTGTTTAGCGTTTGATTGTTCTGAATTTATAAAAATAAAGTCAATTTTGTTTCTTTCAAGACTTAGTTTCTACTTCTTACTTGAGTTTGTTTGTTTTTTCCAGATAAGGGTCTTATGGAAAATCCACCAACAGATACACCTCCTCCTGTTCTAAAGCGAAATTCAGCTGATATGAGATGGATTTACGGAGTTTTGTGTGATCCTAGAAGTCCAGACAAAGTGAAATGCACGTTGTGTGGGAAAGAGTTCTCTGGTGGTGTTTACAGAATGAAGGAACWCATAGCTCATATGAAGGGAAATGTCTCTTCTTGTCCACGTTCAACTAAAGAGGATCAAGAGARGTGTAAGAAGGCAATTCTTGAAGCAAAAAACAAGAAAGGTCTGAAGAGGAAACATGAGGAAGATATGAGGGCAGAGGTTAATATAAGTAAAGACAGCATCATTGAGCARCTGGAAAGAGAACTTGGAACTCTTAAAACTCCTCACTTCCAAGGTCCGATTGATCAATTTGCCACCATCATTAACCCTGAAGCTTCRTTGGSTGCACAAAAAYGGCAACAGAATATCCATGATGCTATTTGGAAGGGGAAGACACATGCTGTACACCAATATTGTGCTCGATGGATCTACYAGTCAAATATTGCATTCAACGCAATTGACAATGAACCTTTTAGGTTATTCTGTGAAGCATTGGGTCAKWTTGGGCCTGGTTGGATGCCTCCAACTCAGTATCAGTTGAGAGAACCATTGTTAAATGAAGAAGAAAAAAGGACAAAGGAAAAGTTGAAGAGTCTATAAGAAGAATGGGACAAAGATGGCTGCTCCGTGATGACAGATGCGTGGACTGACATGAAAAGAAGAAGCATCATGAATTTGTGTGTTAATTCAAGAGGAGGTACATGCTTTCTTTCTTCAAAGGATGCTTCTAAGGATTCTCACACGGGTGAGTATATCTTCAACTACATTGACAAGTGCATTGAAGATTTAGGGGCAGAGAAGATTGTGCAAGTGGTGACAGATAATGCTACCAATAACGTATCAGCTGCAAGATTGCTTAAATAGAAGAGACCGAGAATCTTTTGGTCTGGATGTGCTGCTCACACTGTGGACTTGATGCTTGAGGGAATTTCGAAGTTGTCTGCTTTTGCTAAAATCATAGATCAAGCAAAAGCAGTCACCATCTTTATATATGCTCATCAAAAACATTATCCATGATGAGAACATATACTATGAAGAAGGATATAGTGAGACCAGGAGCAACAAGGTTTGCAACTTGCTTCTTGACACTTCATAGGCTCTATGAGAAGAAGGCACAACTGAAAAACATGTTTGGCAGTGATGAGTGGCATGGTTGTAACCATTCCAAGTGTGTGAAAGGTCGGAATGCGTATGATATTGTTATGAGTTATGCATTTTGGACTAGTGTGATGGTTGTTTTGAAAGTGTTCAACCCTTTAGTGAAGGTTCTAAGGCTGGCCGATGGAGAGAAGATACCGTCTCTTGGGTTTATGTATGGTGAGATTTTAGAAGCTAAGAAGTCTATCAAGGAAGCTTTTGACAATTTGGAGCGTAGTTATCAACCTGTCTTTCAGATTATTGATGAGAAAATGAAAGGTAGGTTGGATTCTCCTTTGCATATAGCTGCCTACTTCCTCAATCCTTTCTACTACTACAAAGATTCGAGGATATATGACGTTGAGGTCATGCAAGCATTCATTGCTTGTGTAGAGACATTCTATCATGGTGACTTCAAAAAACAAAGCTTAGTCGTGAATGATGAAGTCCATCACTACAGAAACAAATCTGATACTTTTGGCATAGCCTTAGCATTAAAAGGATGTGAAAAGAAGGATGAAACATTCGATCCAGGTATATTTTCTCACTTTAATTGTCTTTATTTGATCTTTAGGTATAAGTTTAGCATATGATATATTTTTCACTTGCTTAATCATAGGGAATTGGTGGTCAACCTACGGATGTGGTGTACCAATTTTACAAAAATTAGCAACTAGAATCCTTGCTTTGACCTCTAGTTCTTCTGGTTGTGAAAGAAATTGGAGCAGCTTTGAAGGGGTTAGTTTATTACTTCTCTAACTTTTGTTTTGTGCCTCTTACACTGAATACACTTAAATGAATCTTTTGTT